GGTTTCACCATGTTGACCAGGATGGTCTTGATCTCTTGACCTCGTGATCCACCCGCCTCAGCCTCCCAAAGTGCTGGGATTACAGGCTTGAGCCACCGCGCCCGGCCCTATAATTAAATTTTATCAAAGGTATATAGGTCCGAGATGTACCCCTGTGGATAGGGAAGGACTACTGTAGGCAAAGGAGCTTGTGCACATCACTCTCTTTCCTGATAAACAGGAAAAAGAATTCTCATGAGAGAGATGGCCAGCAGACATATGGGGATTGTGCTGACTGACCCTAGGATAAGCAGATGCACTTGCCTGCTCTTCCAGAGCTGACAGCAGTGCGGCGTGGTGGCGCGGAAAAGTTTCCTTGTCCACGTGGTTGCAGGGCATGCCATGGGGCTGTGGCTCGTTTCTTCAGTGCCCCGCTGCTCAAACCTCTAGGGGAGCATACAGACGGGCAGGCTGTGGGGCTCCAACCCCATGGCAGGATCTACGACTGAATGTTTACAGCTGAAGCCCCAGTGGCCATGTGTAATAGGTGCTCTTTTAGTTTGCCATCTATAGGAGGCTTGTGTTAACCACCAGACCCTCTATATCCTGGGTTCTTGCCCTCTGGTGTACTGGAAGAATCAGATCACGTGGGCTTGGAGAATGAGTGGAAAGTTTTATCAAGTGGAAGTAGCTCTCAGCCGATGGGGGAGCCAGAAGGGAGATGGAGTCTTCTCCTGGAGTTGGGCCGCCAAGCGGCCCAAGCTCTCCTCCAACTGCCCCAGCCAAACTTGGCCTTGTCCAGTCAGTCGATGGCCTGCCAGTGTGCTGGTATCTGTTGGTGTGCTCTTCCACCTGCATGCTCCCTTTGAGGTCCAGCTGCTTGTGTCTTCTTCCACCAATCTGCTCATCTCCATGTCCAGCTGCCTCTGCCCCTGCCTTGTCCCTGTCTCTTGGGTTTTTTTTTTTTTTTTTCTGTTTTTTTTTTTTTTCTCATTTATTTTTTTTCTTTTTTTTTTTCTGAGATGGAGTCTGGCTCTGTTGCCCAGGTTGGAGTGCAATGGGGTGATTTCGGCTCACGGCAACCTCCACCTCCTGGATTCATGCAATTCTCCTGCCTCAGTCTCCTGGGTAACTGGGATGACAGGCGCATACCACATTTTTGTATTTTAGTAGAGACAGGGTTTCACCACGTTGGCCAGGCTGGTCTCGAACTCCTGACCTCATGATACACCCACCTCGGCCTCCCAAAGTGCTGGGATTATAGGTGTGAGCCACCACGCCTGGCCTGGGTCTCGGGTTTTTATAGGCACAGGATGGGGGCATGGCAGACCAGGGTGGCCTTGGGAAATGCAACATTTGGGCAGGAAGGCAAGAGTGCCTGTCCTCACCTAGGCCCATGGGAGTGGAGTCCTAGCCAGGGACCATGCCCTCCTCTACCCAGCACTTCCCTTCCCCTGTTCCCTAAGGGGCCACACTCTTCACTTCCCAGCACTCCCATATCAGTGGCTGGATAAGGGCTCAGTGGCTGAGCCAGGGGCCCAGCTCCTCCTTGTGTGTGCTTACTGTGCAGCCATGAGCAGGTGTGGAAAATCCCTGTTCCCTGTGCTAACACCTATAAATGGTGATCATCAGCGATGACCGGCACCTCTAGTTGTAGGCTATATGGCAACAAGTGTCGTAAGTCAAAGACTTGCAGTGAGGCCAGCACACAGTTGAACACCCACAGCATCTTGATTTGGTGGGGACAGGAGCTACTCAGGTGCTGGTGCCAGTAGCAGAGAATGAGTAACAGCCACAACAGGCCTGAGTGGCCAAACACCCGCTTTTCCACATCTATCTACAGGCGCTCTCACCAGTACACAGACATGTATGCAATGGGGATGTCGGAAAAAGCCACGAATGCTAATCAGGGTTCTGGTTAACAAAAAGCAGACAAATGGGAGAAGGTGGCAGGCAGGATTGATAGGGCTTTCTCTCCCTATACAGCACACATTTCTGTGTGAATGAAAGAGCTGCTTCCTCTTCATTCCACGCAACCACATTTAGTAAACACCCACCAGTCACATGCCAGGCCCAGAATTCCTGACTTGAAAACCCTCCGGCCACAAAAAGTACTATGGATACCACACCTATGCACACAACACAGGTGCTGGGTCAGAAAGGGATAAGTCGGGCGTGTACAAGGTTGTAAAGGCCACAGAATCCATAGCCCAGAAGCAGTGGTGAGCCAGCCTGCATGGCCGGGTATGTGAAGGGAGATTGGGAGGTCACAGAATGCCCCACCCATGCGTCGGGTCCAAGGAACCTCCTCTCCTAGCACAGCAGCCACAGGATCAACTTCCAAAGTCGCCAACAAGGCCTTGGGCTGATGGCCCAGGGAAATGCAATCCCACAGCCCACTGCTCACAATTCACTGAGAACATGGTTCCTCAACATAGGCCATGCGAAGCTGTGTCACTGGTGCTCGTGCAAACCCCAAAACCAGGTAGCCCCTCCAGCTCAGTGAAGAAAGCACTTTTCTCATGATGTGCAGCAGTCCACGTTCTCCTAGCACTGGCTAGGAGCTGCCAAGAGCCATGGGAGCCCTTCTACTACAAAGCTCCTACTACAAAGAGGCCAATCTGTGTGGACTGGCACACACAGAGCACGTCTCTACCCCAAATAACCCAGCTCCATGAAAGGGGGCTATGAGGCCTCAGGCTGCCAACCACAGAGAGCAGCAACCAGGCTTCTCTCCCGGACCTCTGTGGACCCAGGAAAAGAAAACTAAGCACAGGCACCTGTTTCCTGTCACAGGGAACAGCCATGAGCTCAGGCAAGCACACATCGCACAGCCTCCACCTCTGACCCCCTAATGTCCCTTAGAAGTCAGCAATCAACCCCAGCTTGTGCGAAATGGCCAGATGCAGGTCTCCATAAGCCACAGCAGCCTGCACATCAGTTTTAAGTTAACAAAGACAACTCAACCTCAGGTCATTCCACTCTGACACCAAAGAGACCAGAGACACCTGCTCCCAGGAGCCTTGAGAGCCTGAGACTGAGCAGTGAAGATCCTGCTGACAGCAGCACCCAGGGTGCCCAGACCGTCCATGCAGCCACATCACAAACACGTACCACCAATGAAACAACGATTCCCGCACGCATCTCCAGCCCTCTACTCCCCAGGACCCGGTGTCCTCGGGGCATCTCCATCCACGGTCATCGAACTGAGCCCCAACAGCTCTCAACTCAACTCAGTACCCTCACCTGACTTCTCACTGCCCCCACCCTGCCTGCCTCTTCCAGCATCGTGTGCATTCACCACCAACCTCTTCCAAAGTGGTCTCTGCCTCCAAGGCTGTCCCCAACCCAACAGCTGCTCCGCCCACATCCCTAGGTTCGGCCACACCCCATACCCCTTTCTGCTAACCTCACTGCACTTGAGTTTGTGTGTTTGTCCCATCCCCACCTGGGCCGGCAAAGGAGCCCCTCCCCAGAGCGTGTAGGACCGAGCCACCAGGGCCCAGGGCTCTCCTGACCCTAACGCTGCAGCTGCACTGACGCTGCAGGGAAATCCGACCCCAAATCGGCCGGCCGGCTCCGGCCCCGCAGCCCCTAGGTCCCGTCTTGGCTCCCCGCGGCCCTGCCAGCTCCGTGCCCTGCACGCGATGACCAGTCATCCTCGTGACTAGGGACAAATCACCTTCCTGCTCGGCATCGTCAGCGAATACGGAAGGCAGACGGAGGCCTCGGGGCACGCCGGCTTGGCAGGCTCCGGGCTTATGCTTGGCTTCCCGGAGAAAGGACCCCCCGGCGGCCCCTCTGGGGGAGAAAAGGGCTGGGGACCACCGCGCTCCCGGGGAGGGGGGGCACCGGGGACCACCGCGCTCCCGGGGAGGGGCGGACACCGGGGACCACCGCGCTCCCGGGGAGGGGGGGACACCGGGGACCACCGCGCTCCAGGGAGGGGAAGCACCGGAGACCACCGAGCTCCCGGGGAGGGGCGGGCACCGGGGACCACCGCGCTCCGGGGGGGGAAGCACCGGGGACCACCGCGCTCCCGGGGAGGGGCGGGCACCGGGGA